GTTCTGCATGCTGCTGCCCACGGCTGGCTGCCCCGGGGAACGGGATCCTCCGCGACACAAGCTCCTTTTCCCCGACTTCTTAGCTTAGAAGGCAAACTGGCCTCCTGGTGCGACCAGCCCGACGGGCTGTCTGCATTGTCAGGCCTGGCCTCCGCAAGACGGGGAGGAAAGTGCTCCACTTTACTCAGCGCCGCGAGGTCTCCGCTGGGCCTGTGCGGCCGACTCCGGACGCCGCGCCGCAGGGAAGGTGTGTGCACCGTGGAGAGCGCCCAGGATGACGGAGGATTTTAGAAGCTGGTCTGTGAGGACAGGCTAACGGACCCTGGCACGCTCTGTCGGGAGGACGAGGCAGGCGGGGGACCGGGTCCCAGGCAGGATGGCCAAGGGCGAGGGACCTCAAAATGGTGTGTCAGGGACCATCTCAGCGGTTACAAGGCCTGGCCCGACGCGGGGAGGGGGCTTCGCTGAGTGTCGCCGACAAGCATCCCCTTACCGGTGAAACGGTCAGCCGGGTACTCCGGCATCCCTAGCCCAGACCCGACAGCACAGCCCTTCCCCCACGCCTGGCCTCCAGCCTTCTCTGCCCACCCCCCTCGCGCTGGCGCCTGGGGCAGCGGAGCCAGGAGCAGGCGTGGATGCGCTGTGCGTGGGGCAGGACTCGACCCAGGTGGCCTCGGCTTGGATCTCAGGGCTCCCCCGGAGCTGCCCTGCCCCCAGAGCACCCTGCAGGGTGCCCGGCACTGCTGAGGACCAGGGAGAGACTGGCCGGCGCACCGACACACACGGCAAAGGAGCCGTCGCCCGCCCCAGCGCTCAGGAGGGTGCCTGCGGAGCACCGACAGACGCTCCCCTAATTGCATTACTCTGCTCCTAGCACCAGCTGTTGGGGCTGCTCACGCAGGCTCTGGCAGGGCCTTGCCCTTCCTCATTTAACCCTTCCTCACTGCACGGGGCAGGCGGGAGCCGGGAAGGGCCAGCGCCAGGAGCAGCCTCTCGGCCAGCGACGGAGATCCCACGAGCCAGAAGGGGCCAAGCTCTGCTGCTCAGCCCAGCTCACAGTGTCCCCAGGGCAGGGCGTCTTGAACCAGGGACGTGGCAAGCAGGCAAGGGCTCCCAGTGGCGGTGGAGAGCAAGGGCCTTGGGCTGAGCCTCCTCAGCCACCCAGGGACCTGTCAGAATCCAGGCACTTGGCCAGACCACAAATGATCTGGAGAAAGGGGCAAACAGTGAGGTGGCAAAATGTGCAGACGATACCAACCCGCTCCAGATGTAAGAGCAAAGCACCCTGCGAGGGGCTGCAAAAGACCCTAGCTGCCTGGGCATCGAAAGGCACGCCCACAGCGGGAGCACTGCCTGCAGGTGTGGGCGCCTCAGCTCCAAACAGATCTCTTGGCCTTGGAAAAAGGGCAGAAAAAATGCTGCAGGGTTTGGAACGGGTCCCACGTGAGGAGAAGTTAATAAGACTGGGACATTTCAGCTTGGGAGACACAACTAAGGTGGGGATATGAGGTCGCCAAGTGAAATTAACAGGCAGCAGGTTTAAAAGAAACCAAAGGACATTTTTGTTCATGCAACACACGGTCAACCTGTGGAACTCCTCGCTAGAGGAAGTTGTGAAGGCCAGGACTTTCACAGGGTTCAAAAAAGAGCTAGACAAGTTCCTGGAGGATAGGTCTGTCGATGGCTCTTAGCAAGGCTGGGCAGGGATAGCGTCTCTAGCTTCTGTTTACCACAAGCTGGGAATGGGCCTCAGGGGAGGGATCACTTGACTCCATGCTGTGGTCATTCCCTCTGGGGCGCTGGCGCTGGCACTGGCCGCTGGTCTGACCCAGCCGGGCCGTTCTTACACCAGTCTGCGCAGCTCTAGGGATCGGCCGTGCCGAATCCCCAGGGGTCGCAGCCCCACGAAGCGGCTACTTTCCCATCGGCTGTGGCTGGGCGGCTGTGAAAAGGCACAAGGACTTGCCCCGGCACAGAGTGATGAGTCTCCCTGCGGAAAAGCTCCAGGGGCCCTGCCCGTCGTGCACTTCGACCTCGCCCCCGCACGGCTGTCTCTGCTGAACACCGCAATCCAAGCCCAAAGGGGTCAGATGGCCAGCCCCCACCGAGCGGTCCCTGTGCTCTTGCCCGTGGGCTGCCGAGCTGTGGGAGGGGGCTTGCATTCCAATGGGAGCACGGGCTCCTCCCGGAGAGGGGAAAGGTCTTGCTTATCCAGAAACGTGCCAGGGCTCCAGCTCACACGTGCATGCCCTCCCTGGCTGTGCTCCGGCACCACAAGTCGCTGTCTTTTGTAGTGGCCGTGCTACACTGCAAGGAGGCACCAGGGACAGACCAGGAGAATCAGGGGGTAGCCTGTGCTTGTCTTACTCATTCGCAGCAAGGACTCTGGCTACCAAGTCTTGCAACCAGAGAGCCCGTGGACATCCCTGAGATGGAAGCACTCGCCACAGTCTTCACAGTGGTCCACTGGACATGACCCTAGAATCTAACTCAAGACACCTGAGTTCCAGGCACAGCTCTGCCACTGACCTGCTGGATGTCCTTGGTCAAGTCACTTCTCGGCATTAGTTTTCCCGGTTGCAAATTGAGCTTTGAGATATGCTGGTGTCAGTATTTCCAGTCAGATGCTGCCCTAAATCTTACTGCAGCCGCTACAAAGGACGTAGCCTGTTGTTTATTTCAGGCGCTTTCTACAACAACATGTTCTATAAATTAATATATGTGGCTGTGGGTATTGGTTTAAAAATGGATTAGGACCCACAGAGGCTATAAACGGCATGATTTCAATTCAGCACTGAAGCAGACGCAACTCCTATTGAAGTCATTGGGAGCAGCACCTTCATTAGTGCTAAAACTGATCCATACTTCAGCATTTGCACCGTGGTATCAGTAGTGCTGCTTGTCTAGCAAAGAAATGGCCACAAAGTGCACTTTGGGGACGGCCCTGGGAACAGAGCACTTTGTGACATGAGAGCCTATTTCCTCTAGCAACAAACTCAATTACAACAACATTTTAGATTAAATTAGACACAAAAGAAAAAAATCCCAGGAATCTCTCCTCCCTCCGCCCAGCTTACACAGGAACCGTTCAGGGATCAGAGATGGGCAGGCAATGTAAGATCCTTCTTTATTCATTGGAGGTGGGGAAAATCCGCAGCCTTGAATTGCAGCTTTTCAGCACGACCGTAACCGTCTTTCACCAATCTTACCTAAGAGGGAGAGCCAAGAGAGCTCCCTAGAACTGGATTCCACTTGGCCGTGTTGCAAGGAACCTACGGGCCCATCCTCTGCAAGACATTTGCTTGTGCAGTTAGCCTACTGTAGCATAAGGCTTTGAGGTGTGTGAGCTCTGGCACAGATACATGGCTCAGCTGTTCCCTTGCCTCTGGGAAGAGCATGCTTACGGGGGCACTTTGTCCACAGTGATCCCAGGGACACCGAATGGATTCCAGGCGTGGACATTTCAGGGTAGATTGCTGACAGATGTTTAACTATGAAATGTACGTATGTGGTAATGAGTGAAACCCCTTCCTCTGCTAACCTGGGGTAAAAGGCAGCCCAGCGCTTTTAGGATGAGGGAGTTGGCTACAGACAAGGGACATTTGAGTGAATATTCATGACAGCCTAGAGCCTGTGCTAGGCCAGATTGCCATGTGCAGGGGGCCATTGTGCAGTGATTTGGGTCTAGACCGTTGGACTCATTGGCATGCAGGGGCGGAGCAGGTTCTTGGTGTACTGCCACTTATTCTCGAAGGAAGGGGCTGAGCGTCTGGGTGAGGAATGGTACCAGACATCATTTTAACTTGGCATTTTTGCTCTTCTTCTGTGACTTGGTGCTTTTGTGTCTTTTCTAATTGTGTTAATAAAAGTTGTTAAAACTTTGCTGGGCCCTCAGTGTGTCTTCTTGTGCACATTGGAGTCGACACCCAGCTACTGAACTGGACGACACTCGGTTTTGGTGTGCCCAATTCTTGAACTAAAATCCAACAGTCTCCCAGCTCTTTATATTAGTACTAACTGGAAATCAATCATCTATAACCACTAAAGGACTGGGCTACAAAGGGAATCAAATAGCAGTACCACTAGCTGCTATGCATCGCTTTTCATCAGTAGACCTCAAAGCATTTCAAAGAGGAGGTATCATTATCCCTACTTTCCAGATGGGGAAACTGAGGGTGGGACAGGCAAAGTGCTTTGTCCAGGGTTGCCCATCAGGTTAGTGGCAGAGCTGGGAAGAGACCCCAGGCCTCCTGTGTGCCAATCATAGAATCATAGAATCATAGAATAATAGGACTGGAAGGGACCTCGAGAGGTCATCGAGTCCAGCCCCCCGCCCTCAAGGCAGGATCAAGCTCCGTCTACACCATCCCTGACAGATGTCTATCTAACCTGTTCTTAAATATCTCCAGAGAGGGAGATTCCACCACCTCCCTTGGCAATTTATTCCAATATTTGACCACCCTGACAGTTAGGAATTTTTTCCTAATGTCCAATCTAAACCTCCCCTGCTGCACTTTAAGCCCATTACTCCATGTCCTGTCCTCAGAAACCAAGAGGAACAAATTTTCACCTTCCTCCTTGTGACACCCTTTTAGATATTTGAAAACCACTATCATGTCCCCCCTTAATCTTCTTTTTTCCAAACTAAACAAGCCCAGTTCATGA